CCTGGTGAAGAGCAAACAGCCAATCTTATTATACTCTTTATTTGACAACAATATTTTAAGTTGTCAAATATATGGTCACGCTGAACATTGCCATGTACAGGTTTTTGACTAGGAGTATCCAATGGTGATATTTTGTGTATCTCCATTTTGTGTATCTCCATTATCTCTTCATGCCATGACTACTAGTGTTTTTTGTTAATACTTGAAATGGAGTTTTTAGTGCCTTTAAATCTGAAATTAGAGAACCAATTACTGAAACCCCAGAACGAATTCAGAAAACTCATTCTTAGGATTCTGTTCCAAAGAAACTGCACCAGCATGCGTGTGGCCAGCATGACTGTGGGAGCTAGCAAGTCCAAAATCGTTACATCAGCCCAGCAGGCTGGAAACGTCACACAGAAGCTGATGCTAAAGTCTGGAGGCAGAATTTCTTCTTCACAGAAAACTTGGTGTTTGCTTTTAAGACTCTTCAACTAATTTGGTGAGGCTGACCCACATTAATGAGAACAATCTTCTTTACTTAGAGAAAGCCGATTGGAGATGTCATCTACAAAGAACCTTCGGAGCACCACCTAGGTTAGTGTTTGATTCAATGACCGGATACTGCAGCCTCGCCAGGCTGGCACACAGAGCTCAGCACCGCAAGTGTCAAGCATCTATTTAACTAGGGGTTGCAGTGTGATTGTAGCAGCTCTGCTCCAGGCGGGGGTGTGAAGGTGTCTCTTCTCTTTTTTTTTGTTTTTTCTTTTTTTGAGACAGAGTCTCACCCTGTTGCCCAGGCTAAGTGCTGTGGCATCAGCTCCCAGCAACCTCAAACTTCTGGGCTCAAGTGATCCTCCTGCCTCAGCCTCCCGAGTAGCTGGAACTACAGGCATGCGCCACCATGCCCAGCTAATTTTTTCTATATATCTTTCAGTTGTCCAGCTAATTTTCTTTCCATTTTTTTTCTTTTAGTAGAGATGGGGTCTCGTGCCTGAGCACAAAGGATCCGCCCGCCTCGGCCTCCCAGAGCGCTAGGATCACAGGCGTGAGCCACCGCGCCCGGCCAAGGCGTCTCTTCTTCACCCCACATTCTGTGGGTCATCGAGGGCCGTTTTCTCCACATGTGCCACTCTAATGCCAGGCCAACTGGGCAGAAGCTTCTTGGAGAGGCTTTTTTCATGCACGGCAGAAGTGCAAGAGGGCAGGAGGAACATGGAGGCCTTTAAAGTAACTAGCACACGGCCACTTCTCCCCATTTATAAGTAATTTTGATAATAAGTGAAGTCTGTATGATTAAAGGCAAAACAAACTCCGGTGGATACAGTTGTTTCCCACAGGGCTCTGGGTTAACAGTTCTGAGATGGCTGCACGTGCGTTCCACGGTTGCACAACTGAGTACACGAGCGGCAGGTTAGTGGGAGCTGGGTTTCTCTCTGTCGGGGTGGGAGTTTATAGATAAGAGAGAGGAGGAGATCAGACGCCACATGCAGTTATGGATTAGAGGTGGAACATCACTAACAACTGTTTAGCTTGATGTAATTTCAGATGGTTATTTACAGAAATATTTATAGACACGTGCATGCTAATATGGGTTAGTATACACACACATATTTATCTGCTCTGTCAGCTGAGAGGTCCTAAAGGAAATGATTGACTCGATCAACAAATGGGGGAGAACAGATTTGTATCTCCCGTGCAAAAGATGTGGATACTCCACCCTCGAGGATGGGAAGCACAACCATCCACTCCTTTGATGCTAACTGCTCACAGCAATGTCTCTAGAAAGAGCGCAGCGTGGAGAGGTGGGGAAAAGAGTACTGTGGAATGGAAAAACCTGACGGATGCTACCGCAGCCAGGCGTGGAGGTTAGCCAGCATCAACAGTGGAAAGCCGTATTGATACAGGTCTCCTTGGCTGCATAGGGTGAAAAAGTCACTTTATCTCTGTGGTCTTCCTCCCCAAACCCATAACCATAATCATGAAAAAAAATCAGAATAATAATCCCAATGGAAGACTATGTCACAGATTGCATACTAGTACTCCTCAACACTACCAAGGTCTTTAAGAACAAGGGAAGTCTGAGAAACAGTCACAGCCAAGAGGAGCCTGAGAAGAAAAAATCACTTAACATAACGTGGTGCCCTGCATGGGACCCTGGAACTGAAAAATGGAAAGACTAAAGGAATGTGAATAAATTTTAGACTTAGATAGTAAGAATGCATCAATAATGGTTCATGCATTGTAACAGATGTATCATACTAGTATAAGATGTTAATAACAGGGGAAAAAATGGATGAAGAGAACTGCCATTAAAAAATTGCAAAATCCCTGGAAGTCTAGTGATTAATGAAAAAAGAAAAATAAAAAAAAGAATGAGAAAAATTGCAACAAATGTAGTTAAATTATCAAATTGGCTTTCATTTGTGATTCATGCATCAGGGCAGCATCTTCTGGAAAAATTTAGACAAGGTGCTCTGCTGAGCTGAGCACAGGAGGTGGGCTTCATAGGCAGAAAAGGGCTGAAAAAAGACAGAAATAAAAAAATAAAAAGTGGACTGGTCATTTCAAGGTTACTTTCCTTGTAGGGTTAAAGGCAAGGAGACTTCCTTATTATGCTGGCAAAACTGGCCTGTTTGGCGATTTGGCTATTATTCCACTTTCCTGATTTTTTGAAAGATCAGATAAACAACTTGGTTTCAGTTTGGTGATGTGGAACTTTACCAACTTCATTTCGAGTTGGTGTGTTGGGGACACTGGAGGGGCTCAGTTCAAATCAATGACTTCCTATAGATTTCCTCGAACAGTATATAGGAACTCCCTGCCATTTTCACAATTTTTCTATAAATATAAAACTGCTCTAACATAAAAGTTTATGCAAAATTTTCAGAAAATTTTCAAAATAAAAAAGATTCATAATCACTGAAAATGGTTTTATTGCAGCAATGAATTTTTTATGGTACCTGGTAACTAAAATATTTTGAATTCCATGCTCATTCTTTTTCTGAATAAACGACTGACATTATTTACCTAATGTTTTAATGAAAGAGGATAGAAGGTTAGAATTACAGAAAACAGGAAGATATGCTAAAATTGGTAGAAGGCCTGGATGCAGCCTCTGCTCAGATGTGTCATATTAAGAATTAATAACGTCTTACCTGCACCGGAATATATAGCAGCACAATTCACAATTGCAAAGATGTGGAAACAACCTAAGTGTCCATCAATACATGAGTGGATTAATAAAATGTGGTATATGTATACCATGGAGTACTATTCAGCTTTAAGAAACAATGGTGATATAGCACCTCTTGTATACTCCTGGATAGAGTTGGAATGCATTCTACTAAGTGAAGTATCCTAAGAATGGAAAGACAAGCACCACATGTACTCACCATCAAATTGGTATTAACTGATCAACACATAAGTGTACATATAAGAATAACATCTATTGGATGTCGGGCAGGGGGTGGGGGAGGAGGGGCAGGTATTTGCATACACAAAGAGTGCAATGCGCACCATCCAAGGGATGGGCACACTTGAAACTCGGACTCTGGGGGGAGTGGGGAGGCAAGGACAACATGCATAACCTAAACATCTGTACCCCCATAATATGCTGAAATAAAAAAAAAAAAGAATTAATGACATCTTAAAAATACATTCAATGAAATTAAATCCAGCACATAAACCTAAATATGAGGTTAAGTGTAGAAAGCTGTTTAAATATCTGCATGTTTATTTCTCTTGTTGATTTTTGGCAGCAAGAAATTGATTGTAGACGTCTCCTGTTTTGATATAATCAATAAATATTGAAAATTCCCTACTGTTACAGTAAAAGAAAAACTTTACATCAAAGTTAGAGATAAGCAGATATTTATCAATTCTTCAAATGCATTAAGAGCAATTTTGAAAACTAATTGTTAAACTATTAAAATCTTCATGAATACTAAAATATTAATTTATATCATCAAATTATAATTTTTAATCATCAAATTGCCCTTTTATGTGCTAATGAATTGTTGTTACTTAACTTTACTATAATCAGTCCCCTTATATAGTTCAGTAAAATAAAACCAGGCCCATAATCCACAAGACTTATCCAGGGGAAATACTTAATAAATTATACGACATGTTCGGTTACTACTGAAAACAGTCAATCTCTTTTTTTCGAAGCCGATAGTAATAATCTCTCAGCTTGGTGACAGCGTGGTGATACCTCCCACGCTATTTCGCCACACTTACCTGATCAGACACTCATGAAGCTTGCACTAACTTAACCATTTATAGTGTCTGGGTGCCAATTTTCTGTGACAACTCTTAGTTTTGTTAAGTTTATCAAATAATGAAAACAAAACCCTCTAAAAGATTTGAAAGAAAAACCCCTTTATGCATTTAAATCTACCTCCGTCATCTAGGTATTACAGTGATCCCTAAGTGAATTTGTATTAGATATTTCACACATTGTTTTATCTTAATATTATTCACTCTGATAAATAGCTTGCTTCCTTACATCATACTGTTTGTGAATAAATTTTTAAGTTTCAGAGAGAATTATCCATGCATGTAGCTTTTTAATTAAAAGGAAAAAGATTAGTCAACCTTTTTTCTTGAGATAACCATATGAAAGGCAACCTTTAATTACTCTTTTTGAAGTTCCTTTCCCAATTGCAAACTCAGATTTCAAAATGAATGTAGGGAATGAGCTAGCACCTGAGAGAAGAGGTTAACCTTATGGTAGATGGAGTCTGAGTGCCTGTGGGCGGAGTGGGAAGGGGCCTGGAAAGGCCCTCACGGTGTCACACTGAGCTGAATGATGGCCGTAGCTCGCACTGCACAAAAGCTGCAGAGTATAACTTGTCTCATCTCCTCCTCTCCCTCTCTCCCGCACACCCAGGAGCTCTTGCTGCTTATAGGTGGTTGTGAACACTGTCTCTTCACAGGATCTGCTTCACGGTTTCTTCCCTTTTAGTGTTCTCTCTTACACTAGATGCTATACTTAATGGGTACCATTTCTCTGTCTTTTCAGAAGACATCCTTTGTGGTGCCATAGCACATGGATTTCAGAACCACCTGTGAGGAGGTAAGTAAATGGCTTTCTGCTTTTCAAATGGGGAAAACAGATGAGAAGCAGGAAACTCCCGGCTCCACTGTATATATGTGGAGCGCTGCTTGGGGCAGAGGGTGGGTGACGGGCTCTTTTCATTTCCAGAGTATGCGCTCCTTCTGCAAAGCTAGAAAACCAAAGTGTGCCTGGAGAAGCCTTGGATTTTAACTGTTTCTCTAAGAAAACTGGAACATATTTGATATAATGAGCCACTCCTCTGCATCAACTCTGCACTGCATGATTTCAGGCAGTGGAAGTGTTGGAAGGCATTCTTTTCACACAAATGGCTATGAATTAGAAGACATCTAAGGTTTCTTTCGGCATTAAAATCCTATGATTTTATGATTCCAATACTTAGGTATTTCAATATTATTTAAGTATTAATACATGGCAATTCCGATTCTCATGGAGCTGTCACCACACTTCATGGTATGAGTTACAGGGATGCAGCGCCCTTCCAAGGATGTTAAAGACCGTTCAAGAACACAGGTCAATGTATGTGGACTTGGGCGCCTAGGGAACATAACCATTCTGCCTCAGGAAGAAAGACTGTCTTTTATTTTTACTAAACATAGCACAGAGAAAGCATTGTTTTTTCACTTTTCAGACAAAATACAAATATTCATAGGTTAAAAATATTTCATATTTGTTTAAAAGTTTTAAAATGTTTTTAGTGTGTATAAATAACCCAACAAAAACCAACCATAACTGGATTACCTATGGTAGTGTTACAATCAAACCAATTAAAGACTTTAGTTCTTAACCTTTGTGAAGATTGTTCTTTTAGTGAAATGTTGTGTGTTTAAGTTTCTTGCATGAATTTGTGAAAAGTGATTTCTTATTTTCTTCTAAAACAATTGCAAAAATATCTGCTTAAAAATATTTGTCATAGTTGGTACAAAGTTTAGAATGTAAGTATAAAGTCTTTCAGAAAACTAACAAATTGCTTTTATATTTCTCTCTTTATGTTTCTGTTTTCAGTAGTTTAAATATGCTAACACTTTAATCACATCTGTATGCTAATGCAATGCTAATTTAATTTAATTATAAATTACATTATGGTTGTTTGTTTACAAACTTCCTTCATGTGCTACACTGAATACTACAAGGTCAGAGTGTATAAATTATTCATCTTTTTTTTTTAAATCAGCACCTATCAGTTCATACATTTTTAAAAGTTGAATTAGTGTACTACAAGCTTTGTATATTATTCTGTGCTTAAATTTTAATTCTGTGCCATTTCTAGCTTTAATGGCATACTTAATTTTAAATGTAGCAAGTCTTCTATTTCAATCAAAGTGTTACCTTGTGCTTTGAGTGGTAAAGCACACATTGAAACCGTGTTGACATTTGTGTGAATGAGATACACACAGGCACTTCAGGTTCACATGGTAGAGACTGGATAGTGGCCAAAGACTATTTTAACAGATGTTTTATCTTTGACTTCAGTGGCTGGCAAGATTTCCAAGACCTTTTTTTAAACAAAATTGTTTTGATGTATTGATTTGAGATATCTATCAAATTCTAAGATTCAGAAGATTTATTTACAATGGTAATACCATGATCATCTTACCCTTGCTTCTTTGTTTTCTTGCAATGAGCCTGTTGCCTCCCGACCCGGTTCATTGCCTGATGCCCAAGAAGAAGCCAATACACTGGGTCAGCAGGGTTTACGCAGAGAAAGAGTTTATTCTGCATAGCACTGAGCAGGCAGACAGGAGAAATTTCTCAAATCTGCCTCCCCGAGAATTTGGGAGACAGGGCTTTTAAAGACAATTTGGCATAGGCAATTGAGTCTGCTAATTGGCTGGGTTTGGGGCGGAACCATAGGGTTGTACAAATTGCTTTGCTGATCAGATTCTTGGGTAGGGGTCACAAGACCAGTTGAGTCAGTTCCTCTGTACGGGCTGCCGGCCTGGGTGCATCAGCCATTCCACTGGAATGCGGGACCTGGAAGATAGCTCAGAAACTACCCCTTGGTTTCAAAAAAGTGATATTATCTATGGAGAAAGCTAAGAATATTTGTGACCACCAGCTATGTGGCTCCTGAGTGGCAATTATAGAGAAGCAAACAGGGGGACAGTGGCTAATTATTATCATTATTTTTAGCTAGGCCTTTACCACAGTTCTTGCCTTGCACCACGTTTTATTAATTTGTAAGGGTGGTTTTAAGGCCCATTGAGAATCTCTACTGTTTTAGATTCTGTTTTACTCCCTGATAGAGACATATCGTGGAGTAAAACTGACTCAAGCTACTGGGCCACGGTATCCACGTGTCTTCCGCGTGCTGGCTGTGTTGGCAGGAACACAGGACCCTAAGATGCTCTGAAAATGGACCAGAGTCAAAGAGTTTGCCTGAAATTTACAGTCTTAGAACGTTTAAGTGGACAGGAGCCATAAAGATAATTTTGCCTGTCACTTCCCACGTGAGGAAACTAAGAGGTTTTAGGAAATGCCGAGTGCCAATTAATTAGTTAAAAGTTGAGCCCCAATGTGTAGTTTGGAACTCCTGATTCTAAGTTTAAACTTCTTTCTAAGGTACACATTACTGGAACTTATATCACAGTCAAAGATATATTAAATAAAACTTGTTTTCTCTTGACTGCTAATAGGGAACAAAGACGAAAATTTGATATTCACGGCCGTCAGGCAGATCAAGGTGGAATGTTACCTTTACCAAGTGTGTATGTCAGGAAGTCTCTTCTTTGTGAAGGACTGAAAGAAGCATATCCAGATCATTTCCATTTGAAAGCGCCTTAAGTATCTAGTACAGATCCTTTTTAAAAGAAAGATTTATTTATTGTTTAAGGAATTTCTGCTCTTAAAAAGAAAATGTTGCTATTCTTTTAAGGAATCAGGACTTAGAAGTCTAGGAAGAAGCAAAAATGAGACTGGAGACTTTCAGAAAATACAATTGGGAAAAGTACAAAATATACGATTTAGAAAAAAATGTGCACATATAGCCCGATGTAATTACTGATTAACTCTGCTTTTAAAAAGTGTCGTCAAAATAAATCTGTGTTCAAATAAGCCAGTATGCTTTTTTAGTCTAGCTTTCCTTCCTATTTCATTTTGCCATCTACATTCCTGAAAATATGATCCGTGTGGTTGTGTTGAATATGAAAATGTGAATTTCTTTATAACAAATATTTAATAATTTACTAAATTATATACATAAGATGCAATTTAATTTAGTTCTTCTTATACTGAAATATAATCTGTGACTATGATCCAACCAACAATAGTTGAAAGAAGTGCTACTCTGAACAAACTACTGTACTAGTTCTTGTAGATTAATAATCCTTAGCAATGAAAAGAGTAATAACCTATTATTAAAATCTTCTTGAAATAACAATATATCAGAAGAAGTTACATGTGACATAGAACAAAATATTACTGAAGTCACTACATGTGGTACCAAAATGCAATACTGATCAATTTAGGAGTGAATATTTATGTAAGAAAGTGCTGAGTTCTTAAAAGTGAGGACTCATTTTTGAATGGAGTAGCCCCAGACGGTGTCAAAGAGAAGGGAGTTTTGTTCTAGGACTTTAGAAATGGCTGGAATTTAGTGAGGAAAGGGCCATGACGAGAAGCAATCCCGGGTGGGGAGTTGAACGGTAAGAAGCACTTTGCCTAAGAGGGCGATGCAGGCACCGCTGCCGCAACGTTGTACAGTCCGAGCAAGAGCAATTACTTACAGCTAGAGGTTCAGAAGACAAATTAAATTATATTTGCCACTCAAAATATAGAAATCCTGAGAATATCTGCAAGAATATTTGCAGTTCATGTCATGGTCTCTGCTAGTTTCTTGTAGTTTATAGTTTCTTACATCTGATATTGTGAATTCTACATTTCAAAATTAAATGAACATAGATTTTAAAGTTTCATAAAAACTCGTTTTGTATTCTTTGAAAGACTAGAACATAAATTAAAAAGGTCTTAAATTTTAAGTAGAAAATGGATGATATTCTACTTTCTAAAGTTCCTAATTGGGTCATAAGTTTAAGCAAGTATAAATTTTCAGTAAGTTTAAATGAGAGATCTGTTTATATAACAAAGAGTAAATCCCTGAAAATTCATAACCGCATTTCATTGGTTTGCAGAAAACATAGCCAAAGACTGGAGCTTACAGGAGTTCGAGACCAGCTCTGAGCAAGACCGAGACCCCGTCTCTACCAAAAATAGAAAGAAATTAATCGGGCAGCTAAAAAAAATATATATATATTAGCCGGGCAT